ATATATAGCCTTCACATTTTAATTGTCATTTAAATTGTGGAGTACTCATAATCTTCAGTACATTTGAGGCCGTGCCCATCTATGAATGTTTATAGAAATCCATAAAGAAACAACCCAATTAATCACAATACAAAATTAGGGTCTTAAATGTGATTTTGCACTGCTTAAAACAAAAATATGTAATCTTATTATTCTATTTGGCTTACTGAAGAACTCATTAACTCTTTTGATCAGGAGTTGCAATACAACTTAACTGAAACAATTTTAAAAAGTAAAGTTTTCTATACAAAGGAGGTTGTTTGATCTGATCAATAGTGTCCTCAACAGTAATCCAACATGCTTATCATTTTTCCATCACCTAGCACAAATCGAATACAAGCTAGATGAGATTTGATATCTAGAGAACCATGAGACCTTTGCAAAGAGTGTGAATATGAGATTTATAAAGCCTGCTTGGTTAATGGTTATGGAGGTTAACAAGGAAAGTAGACAGAAGGTTTGTAGTTTGAAATAATTAGGTATTAAATAGGATAGTGGCACATTCAGTCATTAACCATGCCACAACTCCTCGTGGGTCTAATATTATGAAACACATAAGTAAAAGGTAGGATAAGTTATCTAACCATATCAGAAACAAGGGAGGTATTAAGACTAAGGACAACTTCAATCAGATTTCTGGCTCAGGTATTCTCCCCTTAAGAATCCACAACACACAGTTGCTTTGCAAACATCCCCCAATTCTCATTTCCCATAACTTTGTACACTGAAGGAAAGTGGTGAAAACTGATAAGAGTGTTACATATTACATGCATACATATATGCAATATGTAAGATGTTTAGGAGAGAGTTTGATGACTGGGAATGCGATAACCTTCTTGATCTTCTTTCCAGGATACATGTCTCTATAACTATGTGCTTGTTTCTGATCCAGAAGAATTATTTTGGCTCAGAACAAGAGCAATTTTTCAGTCAAATCTTTTTAACCTCTTAGTAAGGCAATCAATGAACTTTTCCCATGGAAGGCTATTAGGAGCTCATGACAATGTCCAACTCATCTCTCATTTTCTCAGATAAATGACTATTTTCATTAGAAAAGAATATTATCACATGACATTGAGCATTTTAAGAAAGGCTACAAGTTTTCAGGAGTCATAGATACAAGGATGATGTTCTCCATCACAACAAAAACTGTGGATAGTTGGATCCATAAATTAAATTAAATTTCCATTGTTAAATTTAAGGCAAAGAAAACAACGATACTTTTGTCATTCTCTAGAGTATAAATTCTGCAACAAACATTTAACAATGTAATATTTACTAAAATTAAGGGAAGTCATGGTGATAGAAAATTATGAACAAAACAAACAGTTATCTTAACATTTCTTGTTTATACCATTACCATTAATTCACTTCTCATTCTTGCTAGTTAAGATCATATAATCAAGGTTATCAAGGCGGACTTTCTAGGCGAGATGCCACCAACTGCCTAGTCGACTAGGCGATGAGTATTAAATAAATAAAATATATAAAATATATACATATATATTGAAAATATCTTGTCTTGGGCAGCCTATTTACTTCAAGTTGCATGTAGTAGATGAATAGTTTTTCCTAGAAAAATGCGAAGTTTAGTATTTATTGTATATATTGGAAATATCTTGTCTTGGGAAGCCTTTTTAAACCCTATTTACTTCAAGTCATCTTTGAGAAGATGAATAATTTTTCCTAGACTAGTGAGAAGACTAGTATTTATTGATAACATGTCAGGGTGAGGTAGTGGGCTTTGCTCGGAACAGGAGGACGACGCCGGAGCTCGAACCGCGCCGCCGCAGTGCCGCTGCTCCGACGCCACGCGCCGGCGCGTGAGGCAGATTCCGGCGTCTTCTCTGGCTGAAATTTACACCGGTCAACTCACCTTAGTGTGTAGGTTCTGCCCATGTATGTTTTGTGGGGTTTTGGGTTGTATTTTGCACTTAGGCGAGGCGAGCGGACTAGGCGCAAGGCTGTGACCGCCTAGACGCCTAGGCGACGCCTTGATAACCCTGCATATAATAAAAAAATATCTGCAAATATATACACGGATACACCAATAATATTGGCACCATATAACTTCCAACCAATCAGGCAAGCAATCATAAAACAAAACAACTGATTACCGCTTTAAGAGAACTTTTCCCGCCTCATTGACACTCAATCTTGCAAGATACTTCTTCTTGTCCAGCACATATGCTTTGTCAGTTTTCCGTTTGGGCATTTTCTGCAATTGATTATCTACAAGATTTTTTTTTTTAGCATGGAGACACAGTAACAATCTAACAATAATTCCTCTTCACAGAAGAGAAGCTTAATTTATTAACCTCATTAATTCCAGACCTAATATTTCTCAAGTAATGTATTATCATTAGATTTGTAATGTATCAAACTCAAGCTAAGAAGCCAAGGTAATCCCTTACAACCAACTTTCAGTTACACCACTTGGGAAAAAAGATTTTTTTTTTTAACAAAAAAAAAAAAAAAAACAGGCAAGACAAAGTTCAATTTAACATTTCTATTTGCATATGGAGTGACATTTTTCATGGAGAATCCACAAGAATGATTTATTTTGTTTGCATTATGATATATGTGCCATTTAAATTACACAACCTGTTGATTAGGATCTTTCTATTTTATAACATTTTATTATGAGGTGAATGTATTATAATTGGGTATTTCACAATAAAAATTCTCTGCTTAGTTTGGCATTGTTCTCTTTTGAAATGTTCCAGAGAATCATGATTTATTACTTCTATATCCAAATATACTTCCTAGGACATCAGCCTTGTTGAAACAAGGACTCATTGACCAGGGATGGTGATTACAACAATGTGACAATTAAGTGTAGTAAAAAAAAATGTAAAAATGAAGATTTCATAAAGACCATGAAACAGTATTTTACATGAAAAAAAAGTCCAAAAGCAGCAAAAGGTTTCAGTACAATACATAAGATCATGTTACGAGACTGGATTACTAATCTTGCATTCACCAAGGATCTATTTCTCAACTCTCCTCGACATAGTACTATAGTAGTATTCCTAGGAGAGAAATATATAATTAATAATAAAGGTAATTGGATTTTGGTGGCTAGATGGCATCAATAAGATGGTTGAGTACCTAGTGGTTAGAAGTCATCAATAAGGTTGTTAGCAATGGCATTGTATTATCCAAGGTTTAAAAAGGCGCGCCTTGGTACGCCTCAAGGCGAGGCGTGAGGACATAGAGGCGTACGCCTCAACCATTCGAGGCGTACGCCTTAGGGTGTGTCTAAGGCGATTTGGGCATTTTTATATTTCCAAGCCCAATTTTATTTTTTTAAGCCCAATACAAAAAAAAAAAAAAAAAAAAAAACCAACCCAATACAAAATATTCTCAACCCTACTTTGACTAAATAGAAGTCTGAAATGTGAAAGAAAGAATTCAACGAAACCAGAAACAAGAGAAGTCTGCGCGCTGCTACTACCAACTGCGGTGCGAGAGCCGAGAGTGCGACGCGACTTCCCCCCTCAAGCGACTCCAGCTTCCGGCAACCTTAGTCTTCACTCTTCAGGTGATGCGTCATTTTTTTGTTCATTTCTTTTGGGTTAACCTACTGGGCTGTTAGAAACTTAGTATTATATATATATTTATATCCTAGAGTGACACTTGGCAGTGGTATAGCTAGTGTCAGTTGACTCATTTGTGTGTAAATGTGTACACTTGGCAGATTAGTAGTAATTTAGTAAATATATTATGTGTAATGGTATATAAATGTAGTGTTATTACTTATTATATAATAGTGTTATTATATATATATATATATATATATATATATATATATATATATATATATATATATATTGTGTGTATAAAATATAAAGGCAGTCAATATATTGCCTTAGACAGTAGGCACTGCCGCATGGGAAGTAGTGGTAGGATTTTTTTTTAAAATATTAATTTGTTTAAATTATTAATTATTTATAGGTTGATTGTTTATAAATGGTGAACCATTCAAAGAAGAGTAGTGCAGGCAGTGGTTTAGGTAGTGTCTACTGGTTCAAAAAATAAAAAAGATCCAGCTTGGGACTACTGTGTTGAACTTGTCCAGGATGGTAAAGAGAAAAAGGCATATAAATATGTCATATGCAATTATTGTAAGAAAGTCATCACAGGGGGAGTGTCACGGATGAAACACCATCTCGCCGGGACAAAAAATAGTGTCAAAACCGTGTGCCAATGTATCGGCAAAAGTTAAGCAAAAATTTTTTGACATATTAAACAAAATTAAAGCCAGCAAGAATTTAGCACAAATGGAATTTGAGCAACGTGTAGACATTGGCTCATACTTTGGAAGCGGGAGGGAAGGTGCGGATGAGGATGGAAACAATGTGGCTTCCGCTGGTCCTAATAGAGGTATCCGGGGACCTATGAATAGATACATGATGAAAGGAAATGCTAGTGGGAGTAGTAGTGACCAAACAACCACTATTACACCTCAAAATGCAAAAGAACTCCGTCAACAAGTTTGTTTAGACATTGGGAGGTTCTTTTATGAAAATGCAATACCATTCAATGTCGCAAAGAGTCCTTCATTTATTAACATGCTTCGGTCGGTTGGCGCATATGGTCGAGGACTTAAGCCTCCAAGCATGTACGAGCTTGGGACATGGATATTGAAAGAAGAGTTGACAACAACAAAAAACTTTGTTGAGGACATTAAGAGTACATGGCCACTTATTGGAGTTTCAATCATGTCTGATGGTTGGCAAGATATTAGACATAGGAGTCTAATTAATTTCCTTGTCAATAATCCTAATGGCACAGGTTTTTTGAAATGTGTTGATGCATCCAAGCATGTGAAAGATGCTAAATTCTTGTTTTCGGTTGCTTGATGAAGTTGTTGAGGAAGTTGGAGAAAAGCTTGTGGTTCAAGTGATAACGGATAATGCAAGCAACTACCGAGCAACAGGATTAATGCTTATGGAGAAAAGGAAGCATTTGTATTGGACTCCATGTGCTGCACATTGCCTTGATTTAATGCTAGAAAAAATTGGAGAGCTACCACAACACAAAAATGATTTGATCAAGGCAAAGAAAGTGAGCAACTACATTTATAATCATTCTTGGGTTTTGCTCAATGTGGCTTATAATGATTGCATTATCCGTTATCACTTAGACTCCTATGTCTAATATCTTTCCGACCATCAAACATGATTGAAACTCCCGTAAGTGGCCATGTACTCTTAATGTCCTCAACAAAGTTTTTTGTTGTTGTCAACTCTTCTTTCAATATCCATGTCCTAAGCTCATACATGCTTGGAGGCTTAAGTCCCCGACCATATGCGCCAACTGACCGAAGCATGTTAATAAATGAAGGACTCCTTGCCACATTGAATGGTATTGCATTTTCATAAAAGAACCTCCCAATGTCTAAACAAACTTGTTGACCGAGTTCTTTTGCATTTTGGGGTGTAATAGTGGTTGTTTGGTCACCACTACTCTCACTAGCATTTCCTTTCATCATGTATCTATCCATAGGCCCCCGAATACCTCTATTAAAACCACCGGAAGCCACATTGTTTTCATCCTCATCCGCACCTTCCCTCTCGCTTCCAAAGTATGAGCCAACATCTACACGTTGCTCAAACTCCATTTGTGCTAAATTCTTGCTGGTTTTAATTTTGTTTAATATGTCAACAAATTTTTGCTTAACTTCTGCCGATACATTGGCACATGGTTTGATACTATTTTTTGTCCCGGCGAGATGGTGTTTCATCGTGACACTCCCCCTGTGATGACTTTCTTACAATAATTGCATATGACATTTATATGCCCTTTCTCTTGACCATCCTGGACAAGTTCAACACAATGGTCCCAAGTTGGATCTTTTTTATTTTTGAACCTGTAGACACTACCTAAACCACTGCATACACTACTCTTCTTTGAATGGTTCACCATTTATAAACAACCAACCTACAAATAATTAAAAATTCAAACCAATTAATATTTTAAAAAAAAATCCTACGACTACTTCCAGTGCGGGAGACCGGCAGTGCCTACTGCCTAAGGCAATATATTTGCTGCATTTATATTTTATACACACTATATATATATATATATATATATATATATATATATATATATATATATATATATATATATATATATATATATATATATATATATATAATAACACCATTATATAATAAGTAATAACACTACATTTATACACTATTACACAGAATATATTTACTAAATTAATACTAATCTGCCAAGTGTACACATTTACACACAAATGAGTGAAATGAGTCAACTGACAAGTGTCACTCTAGGATATAGATATATATAATACTTAAGTTTTTAACAGCCCAGTAGGTTAACCCAAAAAAAAAAAAAAAAAAAAAAAAAAAAAAAAAAAAAAAAAAAAGACGCATCACCTGAAGAGTGAAGAGAGAGGTTGCCAGAAGCTGGAGTCGCCGGAGATGGAGGTCACGTCGCACTCTCGGCTCTTGCACCGCAGTTTGCAGTAGCAACACAGACTTCTCTCGTTCTCGTTTCTGGTTTCGTTGAATTCTTTCTTTCACATTTCAGACTTCTATTTAGTCAAAGTAGGGTTGAAAATATTTTGTATTGGGTTGGGTTTTTTTGTATTGGGCTTTAAAAAAAAATTGGGCTTGGAAATATAAAAATGCCCAAATCGCCTCAATTAACGCCTCAGACACGCCCTGAGGCGTACACCTCGAATGGTTGAGGCTACGCCTCTTACCTTGCATAAGAGGCGTACGCCTCAGAGCTATGTCCTCACGCCTCACCTTGAGGTGTACCGAGGCGCGCCTTTTTAAACCTTGCACTACCTAGGTTAATCCACACCATAAATGTTTAACCCAGTAATTGTAAGTGTGTGCCATGTTAAAGAGCTTTGGTATCTTCCCCCGTGTAAGAGTAAAACTTGCAAGCATGACGCGGGCTGAATATGAATTAGTCTCACATTTGTGGAGATATCAGTTGTATACAAGGTAAAAAAAAAAAAAAAAAAAAAAAAAAAAAAAAAAAAAAACATGTTTCAATAAACCTAAAAACAATCACCAAACAAATTCTTTACTATTTCTTCTGTTGTATGGTTAATTAGGTGCTAATTAACTCCAAATTTGTTATATACAGGTGCAAGTAGCCATGTATATAATGACATATTATATGCAATTAGGAATTCCAGTATAATATTTGAGGAACAATTGATCTAATATTTCAATAAGTTGTCCACTAAGAAAGCTAGTGAACAGAGTGACACATTGGTTTCTTAATTAAATTTAACGATTAAGAAATCTTTATGCTCGGATAGTATCACTTTTTGTGTCTGGAACAAGGCCAACAACAGAAAACATAGGGAAACATTGTAGAAATTTTGGTTAACATTTGCCTGTTGCTCTACAAAAATATTACCACTGCTAATAATGCCCAACCAATTTCATTATAGCCACGGCTCATAAACCGCTGTTGTGGAAGAATCTAACCTTTTCAAACAAACCATCCAGGTAAATATAACTAAGTAAAAGGAAATGCGGAAAAAACTAATATAAACCATGCAAAATTCTTCTCAACATTGGCTTTCTTGATATCACATACTGAACTCACCAAACGCAAAAAAAAAAAATGAAAATACTGTATCACAGTTAGAGTTAATATTGCAATGAAAATTGCATAGTTGAATTGGAGGATGTAAGAAGAGAAAAGGCAGAGAAAATGGAGCTCACCTGTGATGAGGACATGGGAACTGCAGTGTTTGCAATAATAGACAAAGAGGTCAGAGTCTGGTCCCTCGGGAGCAGCATCTTCGCTCGAGTATGTGTGGGTAGTCCGCTTTGGCATCTTCTATTCTTCAACTGCGGTACCTACTTGCAGAGAACAATCCATATTTATGATTTAGTCTCATATACATATATATATATATATATATATATATATATATATATATATATATATATATATATATATATATATAAGAAAAAGGAATCAGCCATAAATAGAAGTGAATTTTCCCTCCCAATTGCACTTTCCAAATCCAATATATAAGGAACAGGTTGGCAATCATAACCACTACTTGATCAGTCTAAAATAACAGGTTGGCAATCATAACCAAGAAATATACAACACGAAGATTATCATGAAAAAGGAATTATAATCATATTACTCTCTTTGATGCATGCAATGGGGCAAGGCAAATAGGAACAAAAACAATGCCAAAAGATATAAAGGTTGTAACTAAAGCAAAAACATGTAGAAAGAAGAACATGTTTCAATTGTAAATGACAAAGGGTAAGGATGATAGGAACAAAAATAATAGCAACAGATGTAAAGGATCTAGCAAAAGCAGGAACTTGAACATAAAAGAGCAAATTTCATTGGGCTTTTTTTAAAAAAATAGTTACCAAGCATTTAGACATTTCAACACATCTCCAAAACTTGGATTGGCTTTTTGACAGTTCCGAATAAATTATATAGATACATTAAAAAAAAAAAAAAAAAAAAAAAAAAAAAAAAAAAAAAAAAAAAACTTCAGAATCAAAATGGGTTAAAAAGTCACTTTAATTTCAGGATACATGTGTTGGATAACTACTCTGTATTTTTTATGTATTTGAACTATTTGGATAGACAAATCATTCTTAGCATGCCATGACAAATAGGAGTTACACAGTGCAGATAAATTAATCACATCACATATATAAAGGTCAAGAAGGGTCAAACAGAACTTGCTGAACCTCTTTCCTTGCTTAGAGCCTAATAGGAAAGTTAAACCTAAATCGTTACCTTATGAATAAAAAAAAAATTTTTAAAATAAAATAAAAAAGCAAGCTACACCTAGAATTCAGATACAATGTGCTGTAAACGCAATTGGTTATGATAAAGTTAACGACATGCATAGTTACAAAGCATAATCGTAGTAAATTTAGCAGAATGAAGCAGATAACTCAAAGCAAAGCAACAAATCGGGCGATAGCCAAAATTGGAGTCTACAAACAACAGGATGTAAGATCAAAGGAGCCAATGCTCCCTACTTGCCTTTGTGAACGGCGTAGATAGCGGTGAGTCTTCGAGGGCTCGGTGTGCTGCCGTCGAACGCTCGAAGCTGCCTCGCGTGACAGGTTGACAAGTGAGAGGCGATTCCAGCTTACTGTGGTGACTGGTGACGTTGATACTTCAGACCTTGAGAGAATGAAATGCTGAACTGAGGATTGAGAGTGACAATTTCTGAGAGAAAAGATATCTAGGGTTAGTTAAAAGTTTATTTGTTTGACTTAGGTAATTTTACGCAGCGCCAAAATTTGATCTCAATGTTAATATATTACTGTATTTGCGCCCGTGCGATGCACGGAATGGATTTGTTGTAATATATTAAAAATATTTAGATCGATATATAATTATTTAAATTAGAACATCAAATATTATATAGTGCAATTGAATGTATGATTTGGATCGTTTATGTGTTTTTATGTTATTAATTGCTCAAATTAATAGCTAATATATAGATGTACGCATGCGATACTGTAACTTTGGAGACTTTATTTATCATCGTTCAGTATTTTTATAAATTAGTCAAATGTGCTCGTGCTCTAGCAACTCGGTTATAAAAATGAATTGATATCCTAATTTATTTGTATGAAAAATATATTTTTTGTTTAGATATATACCAATTTTGCTATTTAAAAAAAAAACATAATATCACAGATTGTATTTACACACTATTGAAACCTCTTTGTAGACAACATTGGTAGTAACAACATAATCTTGTCCATCTTTGTCTAGATCTAACACATTTGTCCATCTTCACAAATGGGTGACTCGGGTGAAAATATATAATGGTAGAATTTCAATCAATTAGTGATCCTTTTATATTTTCAGTCAATTAGTAATATCATATTCATTTTCAGTCAATTATTCTTTTTTATTTTTAGTCAATTAGTCAATTAAAATATTAGATGCATTGATATTTTTACCTAATTTC